AGTATAAAATTTATTACAAGTTATTGGACATATATATACACAACTTGTGATCTTGCAATAATTTTTCAATTCGATTATTCTGTATAATAATAATATTAAACCTTCATCTATTATTGCTAATCCTATTTTTCAAAGTTAATAAACAACCTTTGTTTGTTATGAGTTTAAGATTATTATCCATGCATTAATGCAGCAGCATAAGTGATCAACGGGCCTATGCCGCACCCGTCATAAATGTCCACTTTATACAACCAAAGAGGTTCAACTTCAAAATCATATGGCAATGAGGGGAGTGGCACCTTAATTAGCCTTATAAAGTGGACACAATTTTTTCTTTTCTTCAATGAGGGATACACATCCCAATACTCACAGTACATTTACTTTTTACACTTAATTAATCTAGGACAACACTTCCAATCACATGTGGGTTTGCTCATAGGCTCATCAATAAGCCATGAGAATTAAGTCAAAATTATTTTACGCACTCCTGCAAAAGCCAAGTTGCGATATTATAATACTTCGTAAATAATAACCTAGTTTAATTTGTACGGAATAGAAAAATATATACTCGAAGTAGTATTATTATGGGAGCAAAATTAAAATTATATTGTGAGGATTAATTTTTATGGGTCTCACATTATTGATAGTTGTACTCTTCTATATTAAGTATGCATGGGACAGTACACTTTGGACCACTTAATTAATTAATATGCTTAATTATTATTGACTTTATTATAAGGTTTTTCATTTTTTTTATTTATTTATTACTCCTTCCGTAATACTTGCTTCATTTCTCCATGCGCGGAGTTTTAAGAGAAATTGGAGAAAGTAATAAAATATGGAGGTAGTAGGATAGGTGGAAAAATAAAAAGTTGTAAAAAGCAAAAATAGTTGAGAGAATTGGAGAAGAGATCAGAGAATATAAAATTTAAAATACGGAGTATGATTTATGTTGAGTTTACTAGTTGAGATAAACGAAATAAATATTGTAAAAGCTTTCCAAAGTATTTAAAAATGGACGAACATGAAAAGTGGAGCAAGTATTTTAAAACGGAAGGAGTATCTACTTGTATATACTCGTAGTCTCGTACTGTCTACGGTAATAACGGTATATATATACTGTCAAATTGTCAATTACCTGGAAATAAGTAGCTACGGAGTATTATATTGTTGCCTTGTTGGGTATAAAATTGGATTTGAATATTTAATTTAAGTGGATTAGAGATGTATATATTATGCTTAAGGTGGACTGTCCTTTTGCACCGTAGCTCAAGCTGTCATTATTCAACTACCTTTAATTAATTTATTCTACGATATTTTAATTACTTAAGGATGCTAAATTGCTAATTAATTAAATAAACCTCAAGTATATATATGTACAAAGAAGTATATTTATGTTGATATATACGAAGTACAAAGTATATTTTAAAAAAAAAGGTAGGATTTGTACCTTCAAATGACAATTAACATATGGAAGCCAGCTAGTATATGTATATGTATATGTATAAACTTACTCATTTGCATATGGGAGTTTTTGGGATCCTATGTACTTTTGATGATGAATATGATGATCGATCACAATGTTACACCAACTTCTTATGTATATCCATCACGGACACCTAGCATAGTTACCGCGATTATTTTTGAGGTATCAATTGTTCCTAAGTTTAATTAGGTGCTGCCACATGTTAGTGTACTGTGTCAAGTGTCACTCTCCCTTTGGTTGTTTATTCCATGTCATCCATACATTCAACTAAAAAAATAAAACCTAAGTTTTATATCATGAATTTCAAGATAATAACATTAATATCTTAACCAGTAAACCGTAAAATTTTGGATGTTATTAACATGGGTGATACTCTTCTAGGAAGTTCAGTATAAATGCATATACAAGTATACAACTATACAAGTACATTCAGCTTTGAAGACTCTTATCATCTTATATTCTTATGGCAATAAATAAAAGAAAAGAAAAGAAAAGAAAAATCATCCTTTATGATATCTAGACCGGATATTAATGATAATACGGGTATGAGTAATTGAATTTGTAGAAATAAAGGTGGTCAATTTATCAAATCTATATGTCGGTTAGGGTGAATTACAAGCAAATTAAAGGAGCTTAACAGTACTTGTAACTTGAAATATGCAAACATACAAGTATAGAACAACTTCAATTAGATCTTCGTCTTACTTATTGTGATATAATTTAAACTAATAACGTGAAAATTTGATGAATTTAAATGAAGATCAGAGTAAATATGAAATTAATAAATAAAGCATAGTGCCTTAAAACCATAATTTTTACCTTCTATTAATGACGTTTTATGATTTTAATATCGACACTCTGTTTTCAAAATCCTAAATCTAATCTACCAGTTAGAGGTGACAACGGACAATTATACATTAATGAAGAAGCATAAGGAAAATTACATCAACAACAATAATGTATTCCAAGCTACAAAATGAAGATACGGCACACGTAGAAAGATGTCAACTACTCAAAGATCGTAAATTAGCGTAATGATTCCTTAATTTGTCGTGGGTTAAGCAGACAAAAATCTAATCAATACCAAACTCTATATTCGTTGTGATAAGGATTTAAAGTAGGCAGTCAATTCATCATTTGCTTGACTAGTTAAGAAATTAGGACTCCAAAATTCAGGTTAATCATTTGGTCAAATCCAAATTTATAAAGTTACATAGCATAGAAGAAGTAATACTTGTATACAGTAGTTGTATTAGATAGTAATAGTCTTATATTTGCTACTTATCAAGGAGTCATCATCATTGTTCTTTCAAGTACTTGATAAAGTTTATGTAACTTTATGGTTAAAGGTTATATATAAGGGTGATAATCGAGTTGAGCAGCTCGTGAGCAACTCGGACTCGACTCGATCAAAGCTCGGTCAAAACTCGGCTCGAGTAGGCTCGACTCGACTTGAGATGTTCACGAGCACGACTTGAGCAAGCTCTTACTCGACTCGATAAGCTTGTGAGCAACTCGATAATGTATTTTATTGATATAGAATTTTCAAACAAAGTTATTACCATGAATAAATTTGACACTTAATAAGAGTTAATTTATATTATAAAAAAAAAAAGAGTAAATCTTTAATGATAAATAAAAGAAAACTATATAAAGTAAACAAAAACAATAAAGGCCTAGAATTTTAGAAGGGCCAAAACTTTAACGAGCAGATCGTGAGCTACTCGACTCGAAACTTTATTGAGCACGAGTCGAGCACATAGAAAAAGTTTTCGAGTCGAGTCGAGCACCCCTTAGCTCGTGATCGACTCGCTCAATTTTATTTTATTTTATTGACAGGAGGGTTACCAATATTATAATAACTACATTCCTCAATTTTTTTTGTAAACGAGCTCAGTCGTGTAAACATGATTCTTAATTTATGTTAAATTATCCAAAAACCAAGTTGACAATGTACTTTGTATGTGTTAGAGCAATAGTTGATAATTGAAAAAAAAAAATAAGAAATTTGATAGTAAAAGAGACAAGAAATTGGAAGGTGGTGTTTCAAAAAAAAAAAAAAAAAAAGAAATTGGAAGGTGGGAAAATCCTTCAAGTAATTACTTGAACACTATAAAACCCACCCAAAGCAAAGAGAATAGTTGTATTGATTTCAATTAGTGTTTACAAGAGTAATCTCTCACTAATTTTCACTATAAAGCACAAGGGTTTCAAGAACATAACCCTAGCTATCAATGTGTTTATCTCAATTTGGGGATAATAAGCAAAATAACCCCAAATGAGTATTTATACCCTCAACAAATCTGGACAGTGTATCAGGTAAGCACGGGCGTGCTAGTCTAGATAAATCAGGACCTCTAGCTGCACGGACGTGCCATATTTGGTGGCCAGGTGCATGAGATTTGAACCCGTGACCTTTGTGTCACGCTTACTCTGATACTATGTTAAAGGACCAAGTCAACCAAAAAGTTAAACTAATGGTTAAGATCCAGAAATATATTTTATACTCTATTAGGATTTAGGAAGCAATGTCACTGTTAGTCTATTCATCACCTCAACCTCACTAAAATATGTACTACATGAAAATTGAGAACTAATAGTTTAATACAGAGTACAATAAAGGCTGATAGTTTGGTCTAATCGAGAAGGTTTGGGCTATGAAGATGAAAGTTAGGTGAGAAAGTTTGGGCCAACATACAAGTCCTTTTGACAGGCACAGTATATGATTAGAAAGAGAGAAATATATTTTTCAAAAAAATGACGGCTGTGGGATTTGAACCCACGCCCTTTCGGACCAGAGCCTAAATCTGGCGCCTTAGACCACTCGGCCAAACCGTCTTTTGATGTTTAAAAACAGCTATATAATTTACATATATAGTATATCTTAAATTGTGTCTCTTAGAACCCATCTACTACTAATAATATAAATTGTTTCTCTTAAAACCCTTCATCTACTACTAATAATCAAAGGCTAAACAGTGAAAATATAATCTATGATTCTTACAAAAAAAAATCTTGTATGTGATTATTTTTTTTTTTTCAAAAAATAATTAAGAGCTTATATTAGTACCCATGCATCTTTTCAATTTAAAAAATAAAAATAAAAACACAATAGGTTCAATACTTCAACCATCATTAAATTGACTTTAATTAGTTAGAGAACGTTATTAAGTGGAACATATCAATCAAATAGTGATTTGTTAACGTTTGATCAGACAAAGCTAGTCAAAAGTCAAACAATATCGTGTATAGATGAAATTAATTTTCTATACAAAATACTCCGTTTATTATGAGTTTTATACCTTTATTCTCAACTTAAAACCTTTTCTTTTAAACCTAATTAGTATGTAACTTTTAAAAACTCTATTAACTATTTCATGGATCACTAGAAGGCTACTGCCCTACTGATTTCACTTTTACACAATTTTCGCCAATTTTCAGTTAAGCTGAATATATGTCAATACTCAATAAACTTTATAAAAACTTGATAAAAACTTAATTAGGGGTGGTAGAATTTGAGAAGTGAATTTGGTAAAATTTTGGAACAGAGCCATTTTGGGCCTTGATACAACATACAGTACAACACATGTTCAGTGACAAGCTGACAACATGAATCATCTGGGATGATCTACTACAATATTATACAGCTCTATCCACATATAAATATATATATATATCACTATATTCACGGTTTCAAAAGAGATTATACCCTTAATCACTTAAGGAAACAGGCTTACGAGAATTAATACATGTAGGTAAGCAGCGCAATAATTTCCCATTGGGTTTACATGATAAAAAGAATCCAGGATCGCGATTAAAGGACTTCAAAAACCTCTCCAAAATCGCAGCAATCTCATCAAACTGTGGCCGTTTATAAGGTTTGCTTGACCAGCATCGCTTCATAAGGCGACTCAATGCTGTTGGGCACTCAGCAGGTATTGGAGGCCTTGCTTTCTGCAAGATTTAACCAAGTTTGTATGTCACATAAATTTACAGTCAAAAGATGATGCAGTCTGTTGCAGAGGTCAATAAATAGTCATGACTTTTCCTACAGTAAAAATCTACTTGTCCAAATTAGGATATATCAGGGGAAAATTACTTTCATACATGAAGTCGATTTTAGCCTCCACTTTCATCATTTCCTAATTTTAACTCAAGTAGCATGAACTCTCCTACCCTTCAAGGTTATATCCAATCCTATCACCAATCCCTCGTTACCCTTTTTGAGTTACCTCCCACTCTTTCAAACACGAAGAGCTAATTTTAATAGCTGTAGTACATCACTTCAAGCAAAAAGTAATACATTTGGACTTTTTCAAACAAGAAAAGACGTCTAAACCTACTGATCAGTTAGAATTCGGGTTAGTCATCTTAAATTTCGGATTTGAAGTGTTTCACGGTCTTATCATGTAGGGTTCTAGGTTTACACGCTCAAAAGAACATAAAGGACACAATATTTGGCCCTCTATAGCATAGTCAAAATAGTTGTTCAAACCTTAAAAGGCATAAATCCACACCAATAACTTCATCAACCTATACAAAGGAATGCAGAAAAATCTTCATTAAATTGCATTCATGAAGCGTAACAGCATAGTTACAGACTTACAGTCGTACAGGCTTCCAATGGACAATATCAAAGGTTACAAAGTGATGTTCAATTCTATATTAGTATTAAATGGCTACTTATATAAACTAAGAGAACAAAAATGATAACGCGGATTAAAAATCTCTCGCAAATGGCACAACAGATGGGGTCCCACTAAAGGAATGGCTGAAACTCAGAGATGGAAAATCCTTCAATAATTGTAAACACATGTGAAGTTTGGACAAGTTTCTCTTTAATTTAGCATTCATGCAGAAGCAAAAATCTGACAGAATTTGCTCACATACAAATAACAAAAGCAGATTTCTGCCAAAAGCATATGTCTTACTCTACTGCCTTTAATGAACCTAGATTTCTAGCGCCAAATGAACATTTTGATGTTGAAATCTAACATGCTATCTTCAGTGACAACGCACAAGTTAAACACACAAGCACACAGCATTTGAAATCCAACATTTGTTATGACACGAGTGTTGTTCGATACTTCAATTGGCCAGTCAGGGCACTGGCACCCGGTCAAGGCGCAAGCCAGGTTCAGCCCTTGGTAAAATCTCTATTTTGAGGGGTGTGTTCGTAACATATAGAACCCTTGTTTAAACTTGTCTTACAGCCAGTATGGTTTACAAAGGTCTATAACTATCATATTTCAAAAATAAAACGGTTCTCCTACTCTTTCTATCAGAATAATTGGTGATTAGTATTACTTAAGTAGCTATTCCTAAGAAAAAATAATCCAAATAACAAGATGTACACTCCTTTGCATAGGGAAAAAGCATCCTCCTATTCCTCAGCTAATAACAAATTGGACACCCCGACATGGATATAGACACTTGGAACTTCATTAGATACAAAATATTTGTAAAACAGCCAGAAAGGTGGGTTTGCCTGGCATGACTATGCAAATCCGAGTAAATGACTGAGAGTTCCACCAAGGACAGAGCCATTATATGAATTATTAATTCTTGCATGATTAATAAAAGGCCCTTCCTATCCTTCACTCGACGATGTCATTATGGGACCATGAACCAGTAATCGATTATTTTGCAAATACTTGTATAATTTAGGACCATGAACCAATAGTTGATGTTGTTTAGCCAAGAAAATTACTTTCTGAATCTTTACCCCACCAATTACACACTAATAGATGTCTATGTGAAAAGGAACAAAGCTATTCAACAATGTGAAATATAATGGTAATCTAACCCCACAAAAATCTGCCCATCTATTACACAAGATCACTGTCTCAGATTCCATTACTGTGGAAGGTGCATTCTGAGCTAGGTGAAAACAATTAGACATCAAGGCATCCAAGAACAGCAGAGTCATGTGGCAGCACAGGTCACAAGTTCAGCAACATAGATTTTAGACTCTTAAAGAAAGACATTACCCAATTCACAGACCAGCTAGATCTGTTGAAGGGACCTCAGGTCGGCTTTCTGCCAAGTCACTTAGATTCGGGTCATACCGTTATATCCAAAACCAGTAATATCGAGGGTTAGGGTTAGTTTTAGTTATGGATGGATCATAATACAGTGTTCCAAAACCTAAATTTCATAGTAGATTTCAGTCAGTTGTCTAAGTCAATTCTTTTGTTACTCTTAATATCATTCAAGACCTCGAGTGACACATATTTAAATCAGACAAACAGTTGGATAATCACAAGAAAGAGTGAAATATTGAAGTAATTATAGTTGAACAATGTAGTAAATACCTTCTGGCAAACAGCAAAAGCAGCCTGTTCTGGGGTCATGTCATCAAAGGGCGTCAATGCGGTCAAGATCTCCCACAAGACGATGCCAAAACTGTACACATCAACTTTCTTAGTATGGTGCTTTTCTCTTATCATTTCCGGAGCCATCCAGCGATAGGTACCAGTGAATCCTTTTGCACTGCCAGTTTGAGTTTCTAAGCAAGAGATACCAAAATCAGCTACTTTCACACACATATCATTTCCAAGAAGAAGATTTTCTGATTTCAAATCACGGTGAAGTATTCCCTGAGAATGAAGAAATTGCATTCCCCGAGCAATGTCGAGAGCCAACTTCAGAACTAGATCAAGAGGGACAGAATATGGCTGTTGATGATGAAGATATTTTCTCAGTGATCCCCCAGCCATATACTCCGTGATGATACAGAATACAGGAGGTTTCTTACATGCAGCAAAAAACTGCAGGAAGTAGAATACAAAATATTGATCAAAAACTTGCACATTAGAACAAATTGTTCTGATTTCTGATGTAGAATAGCATCTAAAATAGATGAGAACATGCTTTCCTTCCTAAAATTTGGCCTTATAAATTTAAAACAATAGTTCTGATAGCTGACTTCCTCAGATGTATTTGTTGCTGTTTTGGAATGTTTCCTATTATTTGTTCAGCAATTTTCTTCATGCAAAACAACAATAAAATCCCATACACTTTAGATAGAAAACACTTTACATTTAATGGACCAAATGAGTAATTACATTTCATTGCCTACTGCCCAGTATATATATATTCTTGAATATAGTTTTAAATACAATTCATCGGGTAAAATTTTTTTTAGGATGTTAGCAAAAGTAGAAACAGAACCATGATTCAAAAACAGTAAATGTGAAAGTCAGAAAGATAAAACATTGATCAATTTGACGAAAGAAGCTTAAGAGCAACTTAAACTAGTGTGTACAAATTAATTCATAAACTGAGGGTTCAAAGTTCAACCTTGCTTGTAGCAAAAAATTAACAGAATATTATTTTTTTTGTTTTTTTTTTTTTTAAAAAAAAAAGTTGGTTCACAAACAGGCCAATAAGCAAAACTCATAAATGTCTAATAAAAGAAGAGAGAAATGGAGCACGTTACAATTGCATCAGATAGACAAAGAGAAGCATCCACCTCAATTAGCAACCAAGCAAAGTGGTACCAGTACATTAAAACTCAATTGGACAAGTGTGTGGCAATTATTCACTTAAAACTGAAGCTACACTGACAAAGGAAGAATCATAAGGACACAATCGCGAATTTAATAGTGAATGCATCTTATACATTTTCTTGTCCCTGATTCTAGAGGAACCAGCAACCATACACCATCCATCACTGGTAGGAGAAAAAGTCGATATGTATGAATGTACGTAAAAGTATTAGAATCTTGCATACTCAAATTTATTGATTGAATAATTTTCCTGAAACAAACTATTTTTGGGTCTACATTTGATTCATTTGAAAACAGGATCCCCCATTATGTGCGTCCCTTTGGCATTGCAAGAGCAAGACAAATAGAAAGCACTGAATTTTCCATCCATAATTCACTTTTCAACAGGATGACTAAAGAAAATGATTATTGTCCCTACTCCCTAATCATAGAATGCTAAGTTTGTTCGTAGAAAGATCCAATTTTACTCACCTTTAACACTATTACTTCTCCCACAACCCCAAAATCAACCAAAATCTACATAATAGCGACTTTTCAACTTCAAATTCTAGTTATTAAGCCATTTATACCCAAACCATGAAAGCCTTTGTCCAACTAAATGGGGTCAGTGACAAATTTCTTTGCTAACCTTTGCAAAATAAGAATCTAAAAGAACAAGAGATGAAAAATCACAGCAATTTCTATGTTAAATGTGTGTTAACTGCTACTATGGATCCTTCAAAAAGCAACCATGTTTTGCAATCAGTCAAGAGAGACATCAAGTTCCATTCCACTTTTGAACTCTTGCACGTAGTACTCCGGAAGCATGTAAAATTGATAGTTCCATACAAAATTTCCTCAACACAAGCACTATAGAACTATAAGTCCTGTGATTCCCTTACATTTGCTACCCCAAAATCAATAATAGAATGTCAACTTAAAATGTTAAAGCAGAAAATTTGTCTAAATTGATGTTAAATTGCGTTCACATTTTAAAATTCCTAGATCCGTTGCTGGTTACAAGGATAATAAATGGCTACAGATTCCTATATACGAGTATTTCACTATTACAGACCCGAACCTTGAGTACAACCTACTTTACCAACAATATAACGATTTCTTTCACACACACATGAATGTACCTATTATACGGAATAATTGTACTTATTTATCACTTTGTCCAACAAGATATAAGCATCATAGAGATAGTGTGATATGAACTAATAACGTGATAACTAAAATCCAATCCTAACAATATTATTCCACACCATTTAACCACATACTAAAATTATTGCCCAAAAAAGCAAAAAAAAGGAAAAATCCCCAAATAATGGAAAGCAAGTTGTCACAAAATAAACAAGGTACTCCCAATCGTACTCATTCCAGATCCTCTATCTCGCTTTATGTCTGATCATCACCTTTTTTAAAATAAACAATCATTTTACGTCCGAGAAAATAAACCTATCATCATTTTCACATAAATGTAACATATAATAACAAAAATGGTCATAATGTAGACTAGATTCGATACAAATTCTTGGACACCACACCATATAATTCATTTCACTCAAAAACTTAAGCCAACTAAACTAACCCATAATCAGCATCCACACATAACAACAATTACTATAACAAGATTAACAACACCAAAAATTCATCCTATATTAATAAACTCTAAAAAAAAAAAAAAGGAAAAAAAAAGAGAGAAGAAGTAACTTACAGTGATAATATTAGGATGATTCAAGCCAAACAAAAGAGAAACTTCAGAAGCAAATTCTTGTTCAATCTTAGTAGCCAAATCAGGGTCTTCTTCAGGTTGACTAATAAGTTTAATAGCAACATCTTTTTGTTTATAAATACCTCTATAAATCCTACTATGTCTTCCAGATGCAAATTTATTTCCTATGTATAATTGTGACATATCTGCACTCCATTTTTCTTCACCTCCTCCTTTTATTTCTGCTCCTGATGATACCAAATACTTTGACCATGATACTGCTCTTCTGTACTCACCAAATGATATCTTCCTTTTCAGCTTGTTCTTCCTCCTTTTCCCGTCTGTTGACGGGGTTTCATTTCCGTATCCGTATCCGTGTCTGTACCCGTTTCCGTTCTCGTCTTTGTCGTTATCCCTTGACATTTGTTTCAACCACCTCATATTCTTCATTGAGTATGAATTTTAGAATAATCAATCAATAGTAAAATCCCAAAAAAAAAAATTTAAAAAAAAAAAAAAAAACAAAACAAAACAAAATTTGTTTGGGAAAAATGGGATCCTACATTTCAAAGTTTTTTTGAGAAAGTGTGGAAATATTATGTCCTCCAAAAAAGAAGGGATAAAAAGTTTCTAAAAAAAGAAATTTTTAACTTTACAAAAGAGAGGAAAAAAAGGGGTTTATTGTAAAAACGACGTCGTGAGAAAGGTAATTATTGTAAGTGGTAATGGAGGAAGAAAAGAGAGAAGGAAAAAGAGGTTTAAAGTTAGGGTTTTGAGGAGAGAGAAAGAAAGAAAGATGGGAAGTAATGGCGGTATGAAGTGAGAGAGTATAGAAAAATAAAAATGGAAGGTGGAGTTAAGGGAGGGAGTGAGGGAGATGACTGGGAATGATAACGTGCGAAGATCCTGGCATGAGGGGACAAACTGGCCTTCTCTTCCTCCTTTTCATTCCGACTTTCTCTCTCCTCTTTTTTTTACCTTATTTGCCCTTTTCTACTGTCCAAAAGATCCATTTATGCCGCTTTATCGGTCGACGTTTCTTACCTTAAATTCTAGAAGTTAAGATCTTGTCTAGTGAGATTATACAGAGTTTATATATAGAGTTGGTAAGGAGAAGGGTCTTACCAGGCCGCAACCTCTCACAAGTGCTCTCAGCCCGAATTAGTGATTAGGCACTTTAAAAGCAGGAAAAAGGGTAAGAGAACTTTAGTAAGACTATATAAGGGTAGGGATTTCTAGCTCTTATCTTACTTTTTAAGTATCTAATCCATAAATGTTAAATAAATACACTTCATCCACTTATCATTCCCTTTGTGACTTTGTCTTTAGAGTTTTGCTAGTCTAATCTACATGTTACATGACTTTAAATCCATAACCATCTAGTAATGGGATATGGATCATATGGGCCATTGAAAAAAAAGGTCAACTAATGGGTGTATAGGATGGATCGTATTTTTCATACCCTGAATGCACTATTATGTTTTATACAGAATAACACAAGTTATAATGTTGTGACATGTTAGAAGACTAAACCACTTAATTTGAGGGTTTTTTTTTATTATTTTTTTTTGTGCGAACGAGGGGCTAAGCCCTAAAAAAAATTAAACACGTTCATCAACTACATTTGGATAGATCTAGCTAAACACGTTCATCGAATGACTATTTTGACAATCATTTAATAAATGTTATGTGCGAAATAATACCTGCTCTCTTCTCTGATCTCCAATAACCTCCAACTAAAGAAGCATAAAATATTTTATAAATAAATTGTCAATAAGCTCTACGGAGTACCCAAAAATAAAGAATCCATGTTACAAATTAATTAAGGAGAGCCTATAACTTGTTTTAATTTTGACCTCATATTATATTACGAGAAGACAAATAGTTAATTATGCATTTACCAATTTATTGAATTAGTTGAAGGCCTTTAAAACATTGTAATCTCTCGTTCTTTTGATATTAAGAATTTCAAACTGTTGCAAGTATCTCGATGTTACCCGTATTGTATTTGACAATTTTTTATTGGAAAATTTGCTTTTAATGATCCCACCTTTGACTGATTCGCTGTTAATAATCCCACCTTTTAATTACTATCTAATAATCCCACCTTTATACGACATTCTCTTCTACTGGTCCCTTGTGACCGGTAACTTGTATGTTGGATTTTTTTACAAAAAATTTACTAAATGACATGTATCACTACACGAGTGGATAAAAAAAATATAAAAACTAAAAGAATAAGTTAAAAAAATATTCAAGGCGACAACACTTCACCTCCTTGTTCGCCACCTCCCTCCTCACGCACAACACACACAACCACAACAACCACCGCACTTTCTGAGCAACAACCCGCTAAATTTCACCTCCCCGTTCGCCACTCTCTCCCTCATAGCCCGTACTTCCTCAACATCAACACCGCAGAGTGGATAGCAGCAACCCAACCACCCCAATCACACATTGCAACCACCGTCGCGCCACCCATGCAACTCTTACGCATATCAATACCAACCCAAATTTCACCCAACAAATTGTGATTATTGAAGCATCGCAACCCCAATGTTCGCTCCACCATCGTACCATCAAATTCACCCATACTCCCTGCGATTAACAAGAGCAGACGGTTTTCGTTGGGTGAGGGTGGGGAAGGGGGTTCCAGTATTGGGAGGTGGGGAGGGAGGTTTTCGAAGGGTGGAGGGCGTGGGGAGGGGATGGATGCCGGAGGGTTTTGGCTAGGGTGGTGTGGGGGTTTGGGGTTCGCTGGTGGATTACTTTTGTTAATTTTTTTTTTTTATTCTTTAAACTTTAGTTTTTTTTTTTTTTTTTTTTTTTTTTTTTTTTTTTTTTTTTTTTTTATAAATCTATTAACCAATCATAAAGTGACACGTAACACTTTAACCTGTTAAAAACCAGTTACCAACAGGTAAGGGATCAATAAAAGAGAATGTAGTATAAAGGTAAAATTATTAGGTAATAATCAAAAGGTGGAATTATTAACAGCGAACTAATTAAAGGTGGGATTATTAAAAGCAATTTTTCTGTTTTATTTATTTTTTTAAAATTTGGGAGAAATCGTGCAATGCCAATATAAGGGGTAAATGGGTAATTAGGAGATATCATAATTCATACGACAAAAATTTAAAAAAAAAAAAAAAAAAAAAAAAGAAAAGATGGAGGGTTAAAAAAGGCAAATCAAAAGAGGTATCTGTGAAGTTGTCGGACAGAGCCGTATGGTAATTCCGTATACGGTCTTGGGCTCTAAAAAATAACCTGTTTTTATACTGAAAGTTAGAGAAAAGCAAAAAAAAAATTCTTAAAGTCATAGTGCTTCTGACCACTTGTCAACTCCAATTCACCATGTCAACGCGTGTTATCACGCTCCTTACCCGTCATTCTCTTGTCAACACCTCATTCAAAGGCTCACGATTATTTACCAGTTTATGGTTTACCACTATGGACTATGGATATATTTTCTTTGTGACTTCGTCCTAAAATAATTTTTATATCTGAATGATCACACCATATAAGTGAGGTTACTAATTTGAGAGTTACTTATTCAGAAGTTACTCGGTCGGTCAAGATTACTTGGATGGAGAATACTTATTCAGGAGTTACTTGATCGGTCAGGGGTTAGTCGGTCGGTCAAGTATTACTCTCACATAGAAAACACGTTAACCAACTTAATAACCCTAAAATAAATAACCCTTGACCAATTGAATAACCCTTGAATAAGTAACCCCGGTCACACGGTGTAGCCAGCCACACAGAAAAAACACCGAAATTAAAATTATCAAAGTTGATAATAAAATTCAAGTGTGTCAATTATTTTAAAATAGAGGGAGTATATATAAAGGTAATTGTGTAAGATTATTATCAAAAGTAGACATATAACCAAAATATAATGATAGAAAAGAAACCGAGAGAATACTTCGTTTCCTATTATAATCACAATATTTACCCTATTTCACCCTGCCCTATATCTCGAAATATCTCAATTGTTAATTATAAAAGGGGTTGAAGTTTTTGAGAACAAAATATTGATTGATATGCATGCACATTGGAAGAGCGTAAGATTGGGAACAAAGTCTTAGGAAATTCAACTTAATTTTGTGTTGGAACTTTGGGAGTACAATTGAGAGTTGGGAAATTAATAACGTAGAAATAACACTTCCGTACTTGTAAAGTACGTGTACCTCGACTTTAATCACTTTACCAAAATAAATTAAAACAAACTAAATAAAGTACTATTGTTAATTGTTCATAGTAATAGAGCCAAAAGTATGAAAAACAAAAGAGTACCCTTCTTTCCTTATAATTCAACCTTTAATAATCACGAGAATATTTTTTAATTAATCTTGTAAAATGAAATTAATCTTCTAAGATTTGGATTATCTTGGTTGTACGGTCATAAAAGTTGTGCATGCTACCTGGCATGCGCAGTGGTTAATTAATCTCCATTAATCATTAATCTTTGTTAATTATATGGAGCATGTGAACTCACTTATGATTCTTATACAGGTATCTTGTAGATGTGATTTTGGATATGGTGGGTAATTATTTATAATGATGTTCGATTACAAATTTAATTTAGTTGTATAATACAGAATTTTTTTGGTAATACTAGTACGTGTGTATCAAAAGTTGGTGCTAATGAATCTCTTAAATATCAATTATAGCTGTCAAAATTCAGTATTTGTTGATACAAGTCGATGTGTTAATTATAAGCATGCATGTACAAAGATGATAATTGATTTTGAAATGAAACTTCGTTTGCATTTGTTCACATATGACATATGTGAGATCTAATTTCTATTATATGAAGCATATTTTATTCATTGCTTCTCAATTCTTATTAAGATACAACAAGAGCGAATTTGATACCGTAAAAATTCAAACATTTAAGTTTTAAAACAAGACATTTTAATAGGATGAGTAGGATTATTTTCTGAAAAACCACTTACGAAGTGATTTGGTATTTACTAATCTTATATTTTAGTATTCTTTTGTACTCAAAAACTTGTATTACTTTGTACTCCATAGTAGAACATGCCAGCTTTGGATTTTCCAACACAATCACATGCTTAAAGATAGCCTAAAACTCATGTAATTGCAATATTGCATACAATACAAGTATTAGCAAACATATTACTCCGTACTAAAAGAATAAAATAATAATTCTTTATTTGTTCCTTTTAAAAGTACATGCATCCCAAAAATGCTCATCTTCATCTTCTTTAATAACGTATTAATTATTTAAATTTATTTATTTATTATTATTTTTTTATATGGTAAAATATGGGGGTGTCCCTCTTATCACAGGAGGGATTAATATTTTAAATTTATAAGTAAACATTATGAGAAATGTTATGTAAATTTATATTGAAATTTTTTTACAAAATTTCACATGACAATGCATGTTTTCATACACATACAGACATACTTGTAAGCTAGTAAAATTAGCAATGACGAAACTTTGACCACATAAATAATAAATACTCCGTAAAAAAGAAGATTTTAAAAAACGAAGGTAGAACACATGAATGAATAAAATAAAGCCAACAGAATAGAGAGTGGATACAGTATGAAATAAAAAGAGTAGGCCCAAAAAGGTGGGAAAGAGAAGCAAGGGCCAAGGCAAGCGGCAAAGGTGCGGGGCCAAGACGTTTTCGAGCACAGATCGGTGGACTGCAGTGCAGTGTAGTGTGGCCCTGAAAATGAACACAAACACAAACACAATCAATTGCAGTACAGCCTAAGCACGGACGTATGTACTACTAATTTATTATGGACTGTCTTCCTTCCTATGAAGCCAGCTATCCATGTTCACTCGCTTAATTTATGTCCTTACCCTCATTTCCACAGATACTATCATAAATACTTTCCGTACGATGGAGGAGACTTGTGTATCAACTATCTCTGTGACTTTGTGTCACAGTAATTCTGATACCATATCAAAAGATTAAATTAATAGTTGAAGTTTAGTAGAGTACTGATTTTACTAGGATTAGTCCTAATTATTTTTTTAATTATTATAAATTTTAAATATATATCAACATCTGTTAACTATTACTAAAACAAAACGTTGATGACGTCACCATTGTCCACATGTCACTCACATAATAAATTTTTTCCCGCCTAAATGCAAGGATGATGTCAATTTTATTTTTTTTTTCTTCGGAGCTACCATATTTAATAATTTTGAAAATTGATTATTAGAAGTTTTTACATTACAACTATAACCTATCAATTTATCTTTAAAAAATGAAATAATTGTAAATAGCACACTAATAAA